AAAAAAAAAAAAAAAAAAATTCTATAACAATTTCATGTAGTGCAAAATACATATGTCATCAGGACTTATATCTTATACAAAAAAAATACAAAAAAGGTATTTTATCCTAACAATACAATTAATCATGTTCTAGGTTTAACTATCCTTTTATTTAAGCAGGAATTTATTTGTTTTTATTTATTGAGATTATCTCTTCTGTCTGTTCTAAAAAAGTCTATTAAAAAGCGAAGAAAAGTGTTTACTTCTTAATTTTAAATATTGAAGTTCAATTAATTGTGGATACTTTTGTTTACTTTCCCTCAAATAGTGCTTAGACTTTAATTGAGCAAAATTTTTAACATAGTATCTGTACTTAAACTTATGTACAATTTCTCGGTATATTTTACACCCCTGCCTAATAATAATACAAATAAATAGGATAACATTTATGTTACAGTGCAAAGGGGAAGCGGTATTAATGTACATGTATCGTAAGAAAGCGCTTTTAAATGGTTAACTAAACTTATAAATACTGATAGTAGCTATTATTATAGACTTTGACTCTGATTATCAAAATTTATTTGATATTTTATCGACATAAACCTTTTGATTAGTGAGTTTCTCTTTATTATTTACAAGCATTCTTACGCACGCTCCGCCCTCAGACGTAGTGGGGTGGGATCCATTGAAATTAACCAATGAGAAAATTTTAACACAGGTACTGTAGAGTCTTATCCAATCAAAATTTAGTATAGGCGTGGCTTCCGTATTACACTCCCCCGACGTCATGCGCATTACTGTCCAATCGGATTTCCCGTGGCGTAGACACCGCCAAGCTCAGTTTTACAGACACAGAGAGGGAGCAGTTTATACTGTGCGCTCCTATTCATTCAGCTCTAGACAGTTGAAGGCGGATGCAACCGACCGTAAGTGGGACCAGTGGGGGCTTTGAGCCCACGCAGACAGCCTTGACCGATATTTACTGTATTTAGAATTCATCATTGCATAAAGAAGTTGTCATTTATCTGCGTTTGAAAATGATAAGATAATTTGGCATGAAATAAGTGCGTTTGCCAGCAAAACCGGTCAGTAACCTCAGCGTGTAGCTGTATAGAATTATACATAATGGAATCTATGATCGTTAGTCTGTGAACCCCTTAGTCCGGTTTAATTATCACTTATGTGAAATATTGAAACTGTCTGTCTCAACTGGCTTGTGTTAGCCGACAAGCTAACCCATGTCAAGTGCTTCTGTCAGTGGCGTGCAATGGGAAATCCTCAATGATTTTTACGCGCATTTGGCCATTGCACGAAAAAGCTACCAAACCAGACGTGTAGCAAACAATAGTATGTAGATCCTAGATTGATTATATTAAAGCTTCCCACCCAGATGACCTTGATTTGAGTGGAAGTTAGCTTACTAGCTCGCCTGGTCGCTAGCTTAACAACAGCTTTACCATATTCGCTCTAAAGCGTTTTTTTAAATACTTTTGCAAAATGAAAGGGTTGCTGTTGTTTAATTTGTATAACCGTTGCTGTTGTTTAATTTGTATAACCGTGAGGGGTTTATTAACTAGATAATAACTAGTTTAGGTCGTCATAAGGACCTGTCACTTCAGCTAGCAGGCTATTAAAGCATCACTGCATGATGGCTTTGCTTTAGCTTCCATGTAAAATGGCTGCCAGGCATTAAACCAAATCCATCCTGCTAGTTATATTAGTTCTGATGAGTTAGTAAACAACTATGTCAAATTTTAAACGATTATTTTCCATTTTTGAAGGACTATCTGTCGTCTAAACTCATGCTGTAGCGAAGCCAATGAATTGTTACCCTCCAGCAGAGTAGTGTTATGACTGTCAACTCTTGCTGAATATAATAGGTCGTTTCTATATACTGTTCCTAAGATAAATTATAGAAACTTGTTGTAAAAGAAATCAATAATTTTAATTCTTTTCTGAAACCATGCATGAGGATTTCACAGTTGCCATGCGTCTTTTATGTGCATACTTATAACATCCGCATCCATTTTGGGTTTTATGAATGTGCACCGATCTTACAATCAAACATCTCCCAAGTGCAAGCTCGTTCCAAAAGCATGACCATTCACTGCACATGGGTTTTATTTTTCATATTATTTGATTTATCTTTGTTTCCTGTTTGAGAGATGGGCTTCAGACCTCCTCTTCCTCTGTCCTCTTGCTAACTGGCTATGCCAACAAAAACCACCTAAGAAGGCAAAGGGCTTCAGGACTGTAAGTTCAGAGGAAAGTTTACACACTTCATTTCCAGATGGCCATTTAAGTCCGATCCGTTCGCAAAACGGTACGAGCACATGCACAATACTCGATCTGGTCGCATTTAAGCAGGAGGGGCACGTTTTGATCACATTTAGAGCAGGGTTTCGGTGCAAAACGTGTTTGAAAGACAGCTAGCTAACGGGGCTAACACGCTTTATTATAGTACATACTGCTTCGATTGTGCATTATGTTTGATGCGGAAAGTATAAACGAAAAAAACGGATTGTTGTTCTGCTTTATGCGTTTACATGGTTTTTATAACTTCGGACATTGGCCATGAATATTTCCTATATTTAAGGGCCCATTGCTTTTGCAAAAAAAAGTTACTTAAAACGACAGGAACTGTTGCATATGGATGACTTTCAGAAGATTGCATGCGGTTTTTGAGTGCACGAGTTGAAATTTTGTTGTTAAAAAGATGGAAAGATTCGTCGAGGTCTTTGTCTGGTAATATAAGCTGCACGAGTGCTGGAAGCAATTCGGCGGGCCTCGTTTTCATCAACTATGGCTGTCTCTCAAAAGCTTGTGAGCTACCTACCTAGACAGCATTTTAAAATAAGTAAACCTGGAACTCCATTAAGTGAACTGTGTGACAAAGAACCCAGCTCTTTATGTATTCACACTGTCCTTGGGTTTGAAAGAGGACTCAAATCTCATTTTAATCCACCTTACCTGTGACAGAGTTTCAGTCCATTTCACACAAACACTAGCAAGAGTGCTGTTGTGCAGAATATCAGCATATGACCAGAATATCAGATGATTGCAAGTTTACTGTATTGTTGCATATAAGCAACATCATACATGTAATCAGTATTGAGTAAAAGGAACCAAACCATCAAGTGTTTAATACAAGTCATTATCATCCAGTAAAACATTAGTTTTTTTCTTTGAATATCTTAGAAAATGTATGTTGAATCTTATAACATTTTGATATGAAAATCTTTGTAATATTTTAATAATTATGCCTATAATAAGAATATAAATGTGCTGAACCTTTGAAGTTTGAACCCACCTATAATGCCTAATAATGTTTTCTTGGTGGTTTTCAGACATGCAGCCACATTTTTTTTTTTTATTACATCATTTATTGTGATCATTTATGTGGCATTTTGAATGAATGCTGGTCCTGTCTTGTTCGCAGAGCGGTTTGGCATGAAGGCAAACCTGAAGCCTATCATAGAGACGAGCCATGTCTGTCTGAACTGATCATCTGTGAATCTGTTCATAGATCAAAAACCACCCGATATACTTGTTTGAAATCCCATTGATCATTGCATGCTTTTGGCGGTTTTTGCTAATGAAAACTTTCCTCATTAGTCACTTTCTCTGTGAGAAACAAAGATTTGTGTAGTAACCTTGGTTACAGTCTTCAAGTGTCCTCAGCTTTTGTGTTTCATTTCTGTTGCAGAGACATTTTGTTGTGGAAATTTGGCTCGGGTTTTTCAGCTAGACCAAGCATCTATTCCTCAGCCCCAGGGATCATGGCCAAAGATGTGAGTATTCTCTAGCTCTATTAGATGTAATCCACTGAAAATAGAGTACAAGTCAATGAGTTGATGGTCATCTTGTTCTCCACAGGCTGGTCTGATTGAGGCCAATGGGGAGCTGAAGGTTTTCATTGATCAGAACCTGAGCCCTGGCAAAGGTAAGAGGAGCATTAAGAGTTTGTGAAGATAATAGTGCACTGCATCAGCAGCTGAATTTTTTTGAAGATATTCAAGAATGTTTGATCTTACAGTAATGCTTCACAAAAGCCCAAACACCTGCTTGACCTTACATAGCACTGCATTACGTTGTCCTCTGTGAATACTACCCCTGCAGGTGTGCTGTCTTTAGTAACGGTGCATCCACAGTCAGTGGTGGTTGGAAAACAGCTGTTGCCAAAAACACTGGGCCCTTCCAACGTGAACATCGCACCACACATGGTAAGTTTTGAATGGAGTTTGATTGCATAAACACTGAAATGTAAAGATCACATAAGCGTTATTCAGACCACACTTAATTCCAATTTGTTTTTCAGGTTTAATCTCCTGTCTTTCCACACGCTTAAACAGCCAATGCTTTAATCGGATGTTTGTTCTGACATTGTGTAGAGTTTCTGGTTTTATCAGTTACTTTTACAGGGCTCAAAAATAGCAGTACACACTACTGTTCAAAAGTTTGGGCTCAGTAAGATTTTTATTAATATTTTTGAAAAGTCTTTTATTGATTTTTTGGATTAAAAAAACTGTAATGTGGAATATTACAATTTAAAATAGCTTTTCTAAATTATTATATTTTAACATGTAATTTATTCCTTAGTTCAGTCTTCAGTGTCACAGTGTCTTTAGGAATAATTTTAATATGCTGATTTGGTGCCTGAGAAACATTTCTTCTTATTTTCATTGTTGAAAAGAGTTGTTCTGCTTAATATTTTTTATGAAAACCTTTTTTTCCCCATGATTCTGAATAGAAAGTTCAAAAGAACACAATTAATTTGGAATAGAAAACGTTTGTAACATTATCAATGTATTTGTCACATTTGATGCATCCTTGCTTAATAAAAGTATAAATTTCTTTAAAAAAAAGGATTCTTACTGACCCCAATATTTCAAATGGTAGTGTATATCTTTAAGGCTCTGAAAAGCATATGCTATTATATAGCCGTATATGGTTTTCACTGAACAGTTTTTTGATGAATGGCCTTTTTATGCCTATAGTTTTGCTCCATGACAGCCTTAAACGTCACTGGCATATTGAGCCAAACATTACTGATTTAATTTTCTATCCATTTTAACTGTTTCTTACATGAGGATCAAAAATGTAAGATCATCATGTAGGAGAACTCAACCTTTAGCAAAATACGGCAAGTCACATTTTTGTTAACTGGCACAAAGCTCTTACTTTGGACATGGGCCATCAGGCCTTTTTTATTTTTAAGTCCTGCAAGTGACGTTTGTTTATGACAGCTAAGAGTAGCCAGGCTCAATATGGGAAGAGCTTAGGAAACTGGAAATAAAATTGCCTCTGCTCTTGTAGTGTTTTACGCATAGCTAAAGTCATGATGTTGAACACACACCATCTCCTGAACGAAGAAAGATAATTATTTGAATTCTGATCTAGCAGTTCAGGGTGAAACAGATTTCCAAGAATGGTTATGTTTAGTTCACAGTTTTATTAATCCACATGGAGCAACACGCAGTAATCATTGAAGGAGTGAGGTACAGTATATCCTTCTCAGGGATGGGAGCCAGCTTTGAGTTTACAACTGCTTTAATATATCCAAGGGATGCTGCTTTTAATTGCTGGAGAGAATCAGGGTTTGTTGGAAATTGAAGCAGGCTTCCCATAACAACTAAAAAATGAAACAAACTAATTTAGAAAAGAGAAATTGTTGGCTTGTTTAACTGACGCTTGCTGTTTAGCCACCTGCATATTCACAGCTGCTGTTGTTAATTCCTTGCCATATGTCAGTGAGAATTGGAAAAATGTCATATGTAGCCAGCATAAAAAAGAAACATGTTAGCTTGCATTTGTCCTAGTTGAATAAATGTTCACCTTCCTTAACATCAGACTTTTTTTTCATTTAGATATCATTATAGTACAGCTCTGTTTAATATTATATGTGACCCTGGACCACAAAACCAGTCTTAAGTCGCTGGGGTTTATTTGTAGCAATAGCCAAAAATACATTGTATGGGTCAAAATTATAGATTTTTCTTTTATGCCCAAAATCATAAGGATATTTAGTAAAGATCATGTTCCATGAATATATTTAGTAAATTTCCTACCGTAAATATATATCAAAACGTAATTTTTGATTAGTAATATGCATTGCTAAGGACTTCATTTGGATAACTTTAAATGCGATTTTCTCAATGTTTAGATTTTTTTGCACTCTCAGATTCCAGATATTCAAATAGTTGTATCTCGACCAAATATTGTCCTATCCTAACAAACCATACATCAATGGAAAGCTTGTTTATTCAGCTTTCAGGTGATGTATAAATCTCAATTTTGAAATTGTTTGCTCTTTTTATTATGTTTGCCGTATTGTCTCCTAAACCTGATGGTCTCTATCACAGATCATTAGCACACCTCAGAGACCCAGTGGCTCCAATGTAATCCTAATGAACAGCCCACACACACCCAGCTCTCAGTTTATCACCCAGAGTCAAGCATCGGAAGCGTCTCCGTGGTCCTCGGGGTAAGTCTTACTTCAGCAGGCTACTTCATAACATGTAATGACATTTCTATTTCAGAAATAGATTCATTGGAACCAGGTGCATTTCTGTTCTTGAATGCTTTGTATTTTTGTCTTCAGAACGGGTTCAAAATACAACATGGCCAATCGCCTGTGCAAAGAAAATATTATATCTAAATGTCAAAATATTAACAGGTTTTACAATTTGTATTTACATGAGACAAATCAGTAGTACATTTATTATTGTTTGGCAACTTTTTAGAATATTTTTACTTTATCCTTTATTCAATATCAAAGAAAGTTTGATAAATAATTTTTTTGTAGTTTGATTATAATTGTATAAATTAATTTTGTTGTCGTTACTATTGTTAATTGGCTACAGTAAGAATAAGATACAAACAGTTAAATGATTTTAGGGATGGAATAAAATTATAATTAATTTATTTTTTAATGTTTACATGTTATTATTAAAAAATAATATGAATGAATGAATAATAGTAATAATAATTATCATTATATCAAGTCAATTACACAAAATGACTTAATGTCGGATAGGACACTCAAGATATAAATTTTTACCATCAGGAGAAAATTCCCCGAAGTGTCTATCTTGTCAAAATCCACTGTCCATTAAACATATTTTGCTGGACTGTAATACTTCTACTCTTGTGGGAATTATTCTGTTGATACTTTTGAAAAGGTTTTTAATCAAGTAAATCCAAATATAATGAAGTTTTTTTTAGAAAAAAAATGATCTTAATCATTTCTTATTTAGTTTTATCTTATTTAGTTTTAATTTTGAATAACTAAACCTGGCTCTTGTCCTGAACGTAGGCATAGAAGGTGACATGTCATTAAAAAAGGAAAGAAAAAATATCATGGCTATAGTATTTTAACTTCAAAATCATAGAAAAATATTACATGAAATTTGCATTGGTGGATATATCAGTTTGGTTTTCTTCCAAGATGAACCATGGTGGCACTATAGAACATTTTCTAAGGAAAATTCCCACAAAGCAGCAGCAAAACATTTATTTCGGCTATCCTTTTTCTGTCATCTATCATAATGTTAAATATTGCGCAATAATTGGTTTTTGTTCTGCTTTTCCTCAGAAAGAGGGGTAAGAAGGGGGAGAAGAATGGGAAAGGCCTCAGACATTTCTCAATGAAGGTTTGCGAAAAGGTCCAGCGGAAGGGTGTCACAACCTACAACGAGGTTGCTGATGAGCTTGTGGCTGAGTTCAGCTCTGGTGATAATCATATCTCCCCTAATGATGCGGTAAGCCGCTTCCTGTGGCTAGGCATTGATCCAGAGCTTTGTTTGTTGAGTGCAGAAGACGTGCAGCTCTTTAAACTGATTAAAGAGTTGCTCATTTACATATATCTTAAATGAATAGTGCTTCACTTTCTGTGTGTTGTCCCCTTTCAGCATGTGTATGACCAGAAGAACATTCGGCGGCGTGTGTACGATGCACTCAATGTGCTGATGGCCATGAACATCATCTCCAAAGAGAAAAAAGAGATCAAATGGATTGGCCTGCCCACAAACTCTGCTCAGGAGTGCCAGAACCTGGAGGTGGAGAGGCAAAGACGTTTGGAGAGAATCAAACAAAAACAGTCGCAACTTCAAGAACTCATCTTACAGGTGAGAAGATGCTCTTTTGTCTTATGAGAATTATTTTGACAATGAACTTGTTTTGAAAGTGAATGCGTTTCAATTGCAGCAAATTGCCTTCAAGAACCTTGTACAGCGGAACCGCCAGAGAGAACAACAGACGAAAAGGCCCCCACCTGCCAACTCGGCCATTCACTTGCCATTTATCATCGTAAACACCAGCAAGAAAACAGTCATTGACTGCAGCATCTCCAATGACAAGTATGATATCAAAAGCCAGACCATTTATGCTGTTGGTGACCTGACTGGAATATCAGAGATCCTTACTTTGCACACCTTTTCTCATTATTTGTGATCAGGTTTGAGTACCTCTTCAACTTCGATAGCATGTTCGAGATTCATGATGACATTGAGGTGTTGAAGCGCATGGGCATGGCTTGTGGTCTCGAGGTGGGCAAGTGCTCTGCTGAGGACTTGAAGACTGCCAGAAGCTTGGTGCCCAAAGCACTGGAGCCCTATGTCACAGGTTAGTACCGGCTGGTCACCACATCAGAGTATAAATGAAGTTGTGTGACTGTAAAGGTCACATGTTTAATTTGATGGGAATTTTTTGCGTGCAGAAATGGCACAGGGGCCTATCAGTAATGTCTACATGACAGGGGCTTCGTCTGTTAACGGAGGCCGCTATCATGTTGGGAGGTGAGTTTCTTTTGTGCACCTTTCAGTTTGCTCATTAATAAAATGAATGGAGCTGGAAACAAGAGTAGCTAATGAATCAGGTTACACTATGACAGTTCCCAGTAATGGACTACTGTTCATAAATTTGGTGCATTAAATTGATCAGAAATGACAGTGATGATACATTCTTATAAAAGATTTATATATCGAATGAATGCTGTTATTTTGAACTTTAAATGTATCAAAGAATCCTGGAAGCAATTAAGGATTTCCTCTGTTTTCAACTGTGATTGTAGGAAATGTTTCTTGAGCACCAAATCAGCATTAGAATGATTTATGAGTGATGGTGTGACAATGAAGACTGGAGTAATGGCTGCTGAAAATGTAGTTTTGCCATCACAGGAATGAAATCCATTTAATTAATTTAACTCTTTTTATTGATGCTATTCAGTCAGAGAGATATAAAAATTACAGTCTCAGTTAATAGTCCCAGTCTATTAACAGAGATCAAAATTAAATGAGTCAAAAACTTCCTTACATCCTTGTCCAAAAAAAATACAATTATGAATGCTAGCACCAAGAACAAAATAAAAAGATAAATAAATGAAATAAAAAAAGCAATACAAATAAGTAAATACAAATATAAACATAAACTGCAGTAGTTAGAACACAGGGTGGCCGCGGGTCCTTAAAAAGTCTTAAAAAGTCTTAAAATGTCTTAAATAAAGTTTTCCTAAAATAAGGCCTTAAAACGTCTTAAAATGTATTAAATTCAGATTCAGTAGGTCTTAAATATTTTGTCACACAGCCCCCCCAGGACTAATAACCTGATTAAAACTTAAGTGACAAAATATAATCACGCATCAAAACGCGCGAATGATTCTTCTGATTGTATTACATTCAGCTTACACAGCGATTGATAATTGATAGTGTATTTCTATTATAAATGTCGCGCTGTTGAGGCTCGTGCTGCCTGTCTCTGTGAGAGACTTCCATGGAGAAATCAAATCAAATGAGCGTAATGACACACATGAAGAAACTCACAGAACAAACATACTGAGGTAAAAATTCAAAATGTTTAGTTTATTTATAGCATGATATAGTCAAGTAACATACCATGACAAGGGATCTATTTTGCTGAATATTTTCACGATTGCAAATGTTACATTGATTTTAGTTCAACAAACAAGTAGTAAAGTATATGAAGTTACTTAAATTTTTAGACACAATTGACTGTTTTGTTCTATCTCACCAACAAAAATAGTTCCAAACAAAGATCAGAACAGAATTATTGCCACACCCGGCGTTTTTGTTACTGAATGATTACAGAATACAGTCGAACACCAGCTCGCTGTCCAGCCTCCGAACTACTTTAAATGGGTTAATGCAAGTTTACTGAAAATGGCTTGAGAATTGTACTTGCCCGACAGGACTAATAGCCTGATTAAAACTTAAGTGACAAAATATAATCACGCATCAAAACGCGCGAATGATTCTTCTGATTTTATTACATTCAGCTTAAACAGCGATTGATAATTGATAGTGTATTTCTATTATCAATGTCGCGCTGTTGAGGCTCGTGCTGCCTGTCTCTGTGAGAGACTTCCATGGAGAAATCAAATCAAATGAGCGTAATGACACACATGCTTAAAAAGTCTTAAATTTAAATTGTTCATATCTGTAGACACCCTGGAACAACTCTGAGGATGAAAGAAAAAAAAAGGGGGGGGGAGCAATGATTTGCACTTAAGTACATAAACACTTTCAACTATATATATATTTTATTTATTTATTTATTTAATGTGACGAGAAGAGTCACTAAGTAGTGTGAAATTTTTCCGTTTTACCAAGTATTGTAAATCTGATCTTTTCTATTTGAATAAGCTGCATCAGGTCATGCGTTCAATGAAAGTTGCTGGGTGGGGGAGGATTTTTCCTGTTCAGTAATATAAGCCTTTTAGCAATTATCAAGCAGAAGGCGAGTGCATTTGACTGTGAGGGTGACAAGGAAACATTTGTGGGGTTGAGTCCAAATAATGCTACTAGGGGGCATGGTTCAATATCTAAAATAAAACATTTGGAAATGTATTTGACAATGAATGCCCAGAAAGAAATCAATGCTGGTCAAAGCCAAAAAGTGTGATTTAAAGAGTAGCTAGAGCTTGTCGACACTGACACAGTTTGGATCAAAACCAGGGTTAATTTTAGACAATTTGGCCTTTGTCCAGTACTCTCTATGCAACAAGGTATGTACACAAATAAGGGCCTTGGACCATTCCTCGTCTGTGAAAACATGGTTAATTTATTTGGCTTTATTTTGGAGAGGTGAAAAGCCTGACTGCATAATAAATGAAAAAAATGTTTTCTAAATATTGGAGAGATGGTCCCTTTACAGAGTTTTGTTTCTAAAACTTTATTTGTTTAGGGGGTGCATAAGGGAAATGAGAAAATGTATTTCTTATAAATTTGACGAGTCTGAAGATATCAAAAAAAGGGTTTTGGGAAGATTAAATTTTTCTGACAGATAAGAAAATGTAACGAATGTATTCTCCAGAAAAAGATCATTAATGTTTACAGTGCCCCTTCTAAACCATAATGCGAAAGATCCATCTGAAATGGAGGGTAAAAAGGAAAGATTTTTATATGTAGGAGACAGGTTTGCCAAAATGTTTTCTAAATTGTTTCTAAATTTTAAGGTTGTGTAGTACTAAAGGGTTGGAAGAATAATTGGTTGTCTTTAAGAGCATAATAAAGCATGCAGGGACACTTGGGTACAGGAACTACATTCCAGGAGTAAATTACATTAAAAAAATAATAGAAAGTATTCATTTTTTATTGTCGTAATAATTCACAATATTACTCTTTTACTCTATTTCTGATCAAATAAATACAGCTATACCAATTAATCTTTGGGCCTTAACCTGGGCTGCTTTGACATCATTTCCCATAAGTAACTTTCTTTCAAAGAAAGCTGAGTTGAATTAAATTGTGAGTGACTTTTCTAGAAGTTACGATAAATATAGTTCTGTTACTGCTTTTTGCTTTGGTCTGGTTATTTGACAATAAGTGGAAAATAGTGATAATACTGCTTTTATTACTTTTTGAGCTAGGCATTTTATTTTCAAAAAATACTTTACCCAAACTTACAAATTCTGTCATTTTGTTCCCCAAAAGATATAATGCAGAATATTCATTCTGCTCTTCTTTTTTTAAATTTTTTTTATACAACACTAGTGAATTGCGAGAGTAACACTTTAAATCTCCAAAAATGTTACGGTACCATAAAAGTAGTCTTATGAAGCCGTTTGATTACTTTGTGTGAGGTGGAGGGAAAGAATTTCCGTGAATAATGACTTAAATTTTGGCCACAAAACGATCAAAAGACTTGAAATATAGCATGCGTGCACTATGGACTGATTTTGTTGTTTTGGAACAACAGGTACAACAGTGTCTTGTATTTCAGCGTGTTTCACTTTCCTCTGTTTCTCTGACAGTGACGGTGGGGCAGACGGCACGATGGCCTCCAGTTCAAACGACTCCCACTACAGCGGCTCTCGGGTGGAGACCCCCGTCTCTTACATGGGTGAGGACGATGACGACGATGACGAATTTGACGAAAACGATGACGAGGACTAAGCCCAGTCCTCGTTCAGCCTGTCCAATCGTGCACAAGTTCTTCCAGCTGCCATGTCCGAGGATTGATCAACCACATCGTTCTTTTTCCTCTTCTGCAACTCACCCTTTCTTTCACTCTCTGCCTGAGAAGGGCATTGAAGAACACGGGCTTTAATAGGATGAGTTGTTTTCATCCTCGTCTTTCTGAGCTCAGGACAAGCCACATCATCACAGGCTGTGTGCTTTGCCTGCTGGGAATGATAGTTTTCAGCTAAAGGACTTTACTGAAGTTTAGAGGTGTCACTTTATTTCCTGTCGCAGCGTTCCTACTGGATGTTATCCGCTCTGATCTGCGTGACCCTCTGAAACCTTCCCTCCCGAAGAAAACCCCACTTGCGTACAGCCGTACAGCGAGCTGTTGGAAAATGTTGTGTGATCTTTGTGTGAAGTAGTTCTCTTCTGTTTTTGAATGATCTTTTTAGTTGTTGTTGTTGTTTTTGAACTTGCTGGCTTGATTTGCATTCTGATGATTCGGAGACTAATGAATCGATGAACCTACAAAGCCGGCTGCTATTTTTTGCCCCATGTGGAGGGCAGGTCTTTGGATGTGTGGACTCTTCGTATGCTGACCTGATGATTTCTTGCAGGCTTTTTTTGTAGAATCTCTCCTCCCGTGTGTGTTCTGCTCCTTGGCGTTCTGCAGAGCGCTGCTTTTTTGGAGGACTCTGAGGAGTCAGTCTTTTTTCGTTTCTTTGTTCTCGTTTGGTTTCCGAGCTTCATAGGCCAACCTGTCCTAGAGACACTGGAGGACATCGGAGAAACTTAAGTACCTTAAAGCAATTACAGGAATATAAAAATGCTTTGTTTCTTAACCACATGATACCAAGATTTGTTTCTAGTGTCCTCTCTCCGCGTCAGTAATACATTGAAGCGTGTAAGATTATTGTTGTGTATTAAGAAGATATGGGCTTTAGGTCTCTCTCGACTTCCCTTTGAACATTTCCTTTAAAAAAAAAAAAAGCTGAATCCTTGTACCGACTCCTCAAAGTAACTTTTCTGTAATCTAATATAAGTTTCAAATTTAAATATAAAGAATGTTTTAAGAATCGAACTCGTGTTTATTTGCGACACTAATGTAATACTAATAATTTCAATAAACTTTTATTTTATATATGTGCCTAGTGTGACTAGATTTGCGTTCAGGAAGTTGACATGGCATAATGTTTTCTAATGCTTTCCCCATAGTGTTTGAGAGACTGTTGGTACCTCTTTTTAGTTGACTTTTTAGTTGAAGTAGCCACACTTAAAGCATTGAAATTAACTGTAAGAACTTAAATATTAGACAATGTTAAAGCTGTAATTTCCAGACTTGGACATATCTATATTAAATTATTTTCTTGTTTATGCTCTCCTCTGACATGTTTTGGTATTATATTGCTCAGAGTGTTTTATCGCTGTAAACGGAGAGGTTTTGCAAATTTCGGATTTTTGTCATGTGACCAAGTATGACAGAACAGTCCCTGAGGGATCCAGAGTCAAGCCCCCCTTCAGGACTCTCCTTCCTATCATTTCTGTCTTCATTATTCTGTTTGCAAAGGCTGTAAACAAGTCATCTTATTCCTTGAGTGATGTCTCCCATGAGCTCGTCTGTTTCAAAGTTGTTTGAGAGACAATTAGCTTGGGAACTGTTTAGAGAGCCTAATGTTAATTTGTCTTTGTTTGTCAGACTTTTCCTTGAGGATGACTCTACTTTATTAAAATAGGATTTGTTGTTTATCTTGTCTTGTCACGGTCTTCATTATTCTGTTTGCAAAGGCTGTAAACAAGTCATCTTATTCCTTGAGTGATGTCTCCCATGAGCTCGTCTGTTTCAAAGTTGTTTGAGAGACAATTAGCTTGGGAACTGTTTAGAGAGCCTAATGTTAATTTGTCTTTGTCAGACTTTTCCTTGAGGATGACTCTACTTTATTAAAATAGGATTTGTTGTTTATCTTGTCTTGTCACATACACTATACTGTTCAAAATTTTGAGGTCGGTAAATTTTATGAAAGAAGTTTGTTCACCAAGGATGCATTTATTTGATGCATTTATGTTATTCATAAAAAGAGTAATATTGTGAAATATAAAATTTTAAAATAACGCCTATTTGAATATATTTTATTTAATCTAACTTTATTTCATCTTATTTACTTATGTGATGGCTAAGCTGAATATTCAGCAGCTGTAACTCTAGTCTTTGTAAAATGATCATTCAGAAATCATTCTAATATGCTGATTTGGTGCTGAAGAAACATTTATCAATTTTTAAAATGGTTGTGCTGCTTAATATTTTTGTGGAAACCAAATTATTAATTTATAATTAAAATACAAGTTTAGTATAACTTTGCCAGAAAAAGTTTTAGAATTTTTATCATATGTTAATGTAAAAAATCTTGTGTAATATAACTTTGTTTGTTTTTATTGTATTTGTTATACTTGAATTTTTATTGTTTTTGCCATGAAATAGCCCAAGATGCTGACATAGCATTAAATAAATATATATACTACTACTACTACTATAATTAAAATAAAATAATTTACTTAAAGCAAAAGTTACTGACCACAAGCTTTTGAACCGTAGCGTAGATTTAGGGAGAAGATTAGGACTTTGCACCATGTTGCAAATGCAATAAAATCTTAACAATTAAACAATGATAGTATAAATGATTATACATAATAAATTGGGGAACAAAACATCATTTTTTTAAAGAAATTCTCACACTAAAAACGAAATTCTATTTCCAACTCAGACTAAAATAAACAGATTACTGTGAGATAATATTTAAAATAAGAAATTGACAATTGTGTCACATTGAGAAGTAGACATATAAAGTGACAATTACAAGTACGAATTACTTTAAAAATACCTTTTTTATTCTGAAACAAAAAGGAGCTTCCATACTTAAAAAAAAATCATACATGAAGTATCACTCTTTTTTGACATGTTTTTTTCCATTATTATCAGGAATAGTAGCACTTGGCAATCATTCCTTGCAACTTTGCAGATGGCCAACAGGTGGAGCACCTTCCCTCCAATGTTGGGGCTGCTGGACTCATTTAATGTATGAATCTCCTATTTGCAATTCTTGCACATCATGTTGTTGGTTCTCGCTCTTCTCCTCCCTCATTTGGGCTGATGTCCTTGCAGTGGCCTGGTAGATCCTTACCTCCTCTTGTGGGATCTCTTCCAGCAACGTGACGTTAAAAACGTTTTTAAAGTTTTCAATGAAACGCAGGTCAGATTGAAATCGCACCTGTTGGAAATGAAACATCGACAACCAACAGGTCTTATAAAAGAGGCTACCTCAGACTTAAAGACATAAAGCTAACATGTTAGCTATGGTTTAATGGAAAAACATAGAGCCTGACCTTATTTGCCCACAAAAGGGTGGTTCCTGGCTTACAGAAGTACTGCATGGTGATTAGTAGATCCTCAAGAAAGTTGTGATGATAGACCACGTCTGCACAAAACACATAGTCATAATTGTAGATGGAGCTGGGGAAGTCACGTTTCACATCCTGACCCCAGACCAGAGCCGCCACCTGAGGTGTGTATCTGCAGCGACCCCGTGTGTTGCGTGAGAGGTTAAAGTTCAGATTTGACAGGACATCGGGCAGATCTGTGGCCGTGACCCAGGCACCTTGATGTGGAAAAGGTGTAAATGAAAATAAATAATTCAAATAAATTGACCTTTGAACTTCCACATCACCACTTTCATGCACACAGAAAAAAGAGATGTTAGTTTATGTACCCAGTAAACTTGTCACTATGGACACCAGTCCTGTTCCCGCTCCAAGTTCCAGCACTGCTTTATCCAGCAGATCAACCTGTTCTCGGTTCTTTTCCAAATACTGACAGAGAGCCACAGCCTGTGTGCACACATACATACACAGGTAATCTGCAAACTTCACAAAACTCTAAAAAATTCATAGGGTTTTTCACACTTGAAACAGTTATCCTTGCGTCATTCTAACCCCTATGGAATCCTGGGTTATGTTGCTTCACACCTCACACTGCTCATAATTTAGCTGGGGTTAACAATCAATCCACTGTATTTGTAAATTGATGTTTCACATTGTACATTCTTAACCCTCTAGTGCTCTTTATATAAAACAAAATGTATATATATATATATAGATATATATATTTAGAATTGTTCTTTATCATAATGGTATGAAACTTGGTAAAGGTTTTAGCACTTGCTATGTGAAGACAAAAAACGTCACGGACATGGAACGAAAAAGGTTAAATTGTGCTGAAAAATTACTGCATTGGAAACAAATTTAATCTAGTGAAATGTTTGGTACTGCATCCAAACAAAATCTTACTGAAAGCTTATGTTTTGAGATATCAACCTCAAATTTGGAACACAAAATTAGTCTTTTTTTACCCTCACAGTTTTAGAGTAAAACATGTTTTGTTGTTTTACTCTAAAAATACATACTTTATATAAATTGAAAGTGTTTTTGTGGATTTTTCAAAACAATATACTGAAACTTCTATAACTTTTTAAATTCCACTTTCATTTCATTTTTTTTTTTACTTTAGCCAAAAACCTGCATCTCTCTTTAAAAAGAGACCTTTACAAAATCTAAGTCTGTGCTCCAAAACATTCAAGATTTACAACAGTTTAAGTTGGAAATTTCATTTTTAGATCTCTGCTCAAAAAGTTAAACACATAATAACGTTATAACTAATGCATAAATATAATTTAGTACCATTAAATCCCCTAAAAATACAAAATATTAAAAAGAAAATAAACCGCTTGACGTTCTTATTTGCATATTTGCTATGTCAGTGTCACTGATTGGACGAAGACAACGCGCGACCTGTTTATGTAAATGTTCCAATTTCATCCTCAGGTTATTGCCGACTGTATTGTCGAGTTTTTCCTGAATGGACTTTTCATACTATAAAGGTAAGGTGGACTATTTGATGTCACCATTTTCCCCTTAAACGCTGGAACTACTGTTAAAATACAACACGCGGATTTTCTGTGATTGTCCAAAGGCAAAGCACGTGAATATGAGGCGTCATTGGGCGTCTGTTCCTAAGCATCTAGCCGTAACATTCTAACACCGAATCGTAACATATAACAACAAGGAATCACACTGACTGTAGGCTACGGGTTTGGTTTGGTACCGCAATGCTGGGTTAACGCGAACCCTGCTCCGTGGCGGAGTTTTTTAATAACCCCAGGTATAAAGCGGTGGTGGGCTTCTAAATTGCAAGTGTGAACGGTTTCTCTACCAGGAGTTAAAGGCGGAGTTTAGAACGACGTCTTACGACGATAACCCTCGGTTAAGCGCAGTGTGAAGAGTCCTATAATATCTATTCTCACGCCTGGCCAGATGACGGCGCCAAAAGAGTCGAGTGACTCTCGGATGTTGATCTCCTGCCCGGTGAAGAAAAAGGTCTCGTTGCCAAGCGAATAGAAGACAGTGGGCTCCCAGGCATTGCGCCTGTTCAGTGCCTCCTTCTGCATGTCTTTACAGTCCATATCCTCTGAAAAGAGCACCAATAAGACGTGTCATTGCAATTCAATCACTGTATTTACTGATCTGAACACCTGCATGCACACACACCTAAATACAGTGGGATCCAAAAGTTTCATACTGCATTAAAACTCTGGGATTTAGAATAATAAAGCATAAAAACTGAATAAAATGAAGAAGAAACACTATTTCTGGGTCACTAATGAAATGCACATAAATTTAAATGTGTTCACAAGTCCAAACACACTTTCGTGGCAATTTGTAACTAATGTTTGTCAAATTTGTGGCTAAATCTTATAAATTCGTGTCATCTCATATGTCTTTGTAGAATCTGCTTACGCCCATTGACAGTTAGGTTTAGGGGTTGGCACTTCATGCTTATGTTTTTTTTTTTTATTGTACATTTCCATACAAATCACACCACACCATACAAATTCATACTAAACTGCCAACTTGTAAAATTGTTTTCTCATGAGATCAGGTTGTCCCAAGTTTTTGAGGTAGAGTCTAATCAAATCTTAAGTATTTTGTCATATATGGGCAAGTTTCAGGTACACAACTATTTTGCCTGTATTTTTATCTAAAGTAAAAGAGGTTTCAATAGTTAGTTCACTATTACACAATTATGGAAATAAAAAAAAAATTCAAATATGTTGCATAATAGGTGCATTTTTATTTACTAGTTTTTGGAGCCCACTGTCATATTGCTCCCATATCTCAATCTTCTTATTATTTACCTTCTGTGTTGTTTGGTGGTGGTTTGACAGGGTCAGGCTGCTTCACGATCCCTTTTTTCTGCATATTTAGACCAGGATTTCCTTCGATCTCCATTATGGAAACAAGCCCAAATGTCTTCACACTCAGTACAGCTATCGTGTTGGAAGATTTAATTTTTAATTCTCAATAAAACCATTTTCTAACAACATCTTCTTACATGCATTTTCCCCAGTAGTTGTTGAATTTAGGTAGCACACAAAAGCAAGCAAAATTCCAAGCAAAATTATTAATTTTAATTTAAACTAGTTTCAGTAACAAACAGCAATGAAAAGGAAATCACACACTCTCACAAACATATAGAAACAAAGAAACAGACCTGAGACTTTAAAGTTGACATCCTCAGGGCAAATTGACTTTTAAAAGAAGAAGCATCTCCCTGCTCCTCCCATGGAAGAGCTGAGCTAATGTGCAGTTAGTTATGAGAGAGAGAGAGTTGCATACAATGTCAAAGCTACTTAATTCCACAGCTCTGAGTGCAATCCTCTCCTCAGGGAACACTGATCCCTCTCACGGATTCCCGTGTTTTCGAGTTTGTGGAAAACAGACAGAGATTTAGACTAAGAATGGGTGGGGGAAAGATGGCTGTAGGTATTTATATATCTTACAATGCACATGAAGGCATATCCCTTTACCCACAGCCTGGGCACGGCTCTGGCAGATATACTGTGGCCTCTGGGATCTTGGAAGCTGCAACTGGGGTCCAATAACCTGTGCAAGCACAGATGGTAAATGAAGGATGACAAATATTTTACTGTCTGCAAGTGTAGGATGACCTGACGGTCAGTTTTAATAGCTGGGATGGAATCAGACATCAGAAATAACCTGAGACTGGACTGACATAGAAAACATGATGTCTGGCAAGACTGGCATACTAAAGCAATAACCCAAGAGAGGCTTTTGAGAGTGATTTTACCATTGATATAGGGCAGGGGTAGGCAAGTTCGGTCCTAGAGAGCCACAGTCCTGCAGAGTTCAGCTCCAACCCGAATCAAACGCACCTGAACAAGCTAATCAATGTCTTCAGGATTACTAAGGCTATAGGCAGGTGAGTTTTTTTTCAGGGTTGGAGCTGAACTCTGCAGGACTGCGGCTCTCTAGGACCGAACTTGCCTACCCCTGGTATAGGGTGTCTGTGCTTAAAACTCATTTATAAAATGGCATCAACATCAATATGACAGTGTTCACAATGAACACAATGTTTAATAAATAGTTTTTAAAGAATTAGCTCACTCCAGAATGAGAATTTCTTGATCATTTACTCACCCCCATGTCATCCAAGATGTTCATGTCTTTCTTTCATGAGTTGAAAAGAAACAAATGTTTCTGAGGAAAACATTCCAGGATTTTTCTCCATGTAGTGGACTTTAGTGGGGACCAACTGACTGAAGGTCCAAATTGCAGGTTCAATGCCGCTTCAAAGGGCTCTACACAATCCCACACTCTTTAAAAATTAAACGGGGGTTCAGCCCGTTGGGTCATTTTATTGGGTTGTTTTTAATATTTTTACCCAGGTGCTGGGTAGTTTTTCTTTAACTAAGCTGCTGGGTCATTTTTAATGCTGGGCTATTTTTTTTCTACCAAATCGCTGGGTTGAGCTTGTCTCCGATTAAACAACCCAGCTGCTGAGTTAGTGCGCGGGCTTATTGAGTCCACAGGAGAGAGTAGTTCACAGGGCCGCCGCCGACGATTTGGTGCCCTTCTTCAGCGATATAAAGGTTTGTATACATTTTATTTCATTTATAAAGTCTTTACTGTGCTCTAAATTGTATTATTTTACGCAACGCATAAGTACGAGATGTTAGTCAACTGTGTCAGCAGCGGTCACTTCGCATGATGGAAATGCCTTTTGCCTTGCATTACATAAATTGATTTCATTCGTTATAGTACTGAGTTTAAATTAATTTGATGTTAAAATATGTTCTCTAATCTCAGTACTGTTTGTTTATGGGCAGGTTTTGGAGTCACAGAATCTTTCAGCTACGAGTGAAAAGCGAGGCCGCGGTCTGAAGTTCGCAGTTCCCCGGCGAACAGCAGCCCTTTCACCGGCTCGGATTTCGGCGACACACCGGCACAAGAATTGGCGCTATTTCCGTAAAAAGTGATTACAGAGAACGGTTGAATACACTTTAATTAAAATGCTACTTTTAAATGTTACATTTTTTATGTCTAAAATGCTTGTTAAACATAGTAATATTGTAAACTATGCTGTATTCACCCAAATAAATTCAATTTGTTTTGTATTTTGTCCATGTGTTCTTGCTTAATAATAAACGTTCATCTTTTGATTATTGCTGTTGTCTCTAGTAATTCTGTTTTTTGTTTTTTTTCTCCAGTCCATAATTTTAAACCATAGTTGACTTAACCCAGCATTTTTGGTAAAAAAAAAAACATTTAACCCAACCAGGGGCCTTGTTTCATAAAACAAATTTACCAAATAAGCCAGATTTATTTTATTTAGTCTGACTTTGGTCAATTTTGGTTCAAAATAAGTCAGAATAACTGAAATAAGCCTGGCTTGTTTGGTAAACTTGTTTTATGAAACAGCCCCCAGCTGGGTCAAAATAACCCAGCATGTGTTCTGTCCAGTATTTACCCAGTTGCCAAATAACCCAAGTTGGGTTGTTTTTAACCCAGCATTTTGTAGAGTGCAGCTGAGGAATATATATATACTTTTTAACCACAATGCTCATCTTGCACTAGCTCTGCGTCTACGACTTCACGCATTATATAGTCAAGTTAGAAAGGTCATGTGTGAGGTAGTACTGACCCAGTGTTTACAAAGCGAACATGCAAAGACTGGTTAAAAAGTAAATAAATGTTTATATTTTTTTTAGAAAATGATCGATTGTTTCCCTAGATCAGTGTTTCTCAACCCTGGTCCTGAGCGCCCCCCAACACTGCACATTTTGTATGTCTCCCTTATCTGACACCCATTTCAGGTCCTGGAGTTTCTTTTAATGAGCTAATGAGTTGAATCAGGTGTGTTTGATTAGGGAGACACACATAATGTGCAGTGCTGGGGGGCGCCCAGGACCAGGGTAGAGAAACACTGCCCTAGATAATACCCTTATTCCTTTGCCGGGATTGTGTAGCCCTTTAAAGCTGCATTGAACATGCAATTTGGACCTTCAACCCATTGGTCCCCGTTGAAGTCCACTATATGGAGAAAAATCCTGGAAAGTTTTCCTCAAAAACTTTAATTTCTTTTTGACTGAAGAAAAAAATACATTAACATCTTGGGTGACATGGGTGTGAGTAAAGTATCAGGAAATTTTATTTCAGGAGTGAACTAATCCTTTAATACAATCTGAATAAATCTTGCTTAATAAATGCTGTGTTTATGGTTACAAACAGAAAAAAAGCCTAATAAAACTTACTAAAACAGATCTCTCATAAGCAATATGCTATTTTCTTTCTTTCATAAGCAATATGCCATTTTCTTTCTTTCTTTCGTTCTTTCTTTCTTTTTTAGAAAGGAAATTTAAAAAATAAGAAGAATGAGGGAGAATCAGTGAATTACGAATAATTCACTGCCATGTTGTGAATATTAAGTAATCATTTAATCATTGAAAAAGTAGTATTTTATATGAGTATACGAGTATTTTAAAAATATAAAATAATTGCCTTGAATATTTTTTCCTTTGATGACTAATTTCAGTGATCATTGAAGTATTGCAAATTCCTGGTCTTTTGGCGAAATTTGCTGTTTTGAATCACAAAATAATTTAAATAATTTATCCTTTTTTTAATAATCAAGGCCACCAAAGAGTTTAGCATTTAATTTAATAATTATTATGCATCTATTTAACCATTAAACTTATGTGAAATGTCGGTCGATCACGTGCATGAGTATAACAGCTATAGTTGTGTTCCAAATGACGTACAAAACACTATGCTTATACAATGCACTATACTTATAATTTTAGAAGATTATTTTGTCATCCAGCATCAGAGCTAAGTGCTTGAAGTGTCCAACATTCCATTTTTTTTCAGTTAATTAACTGCATCAAGAGCACTTTTTCTTTTTGGAATCTTCAGTGTGAAAAACTACTTAAGTGGCATAAAATAGTATATAAGTACATGATTTGGGGCACACCTTGTGTCTCAGTGGAGTGGCACATTCTTCTGAAGGACAAACAGCAATTGCAAATTACAAACAATCTATTACGTTCATCCAAAAGGAGAAAAGAAAAGAGTACTCCCTAGTCCCCTTGCATGGTAAACAAATTTTACACTGAGATTATCATGTCTCTCGGTCTTAGGCCATGTTTAATCAGACACCTGGGATGAGAGCATAACGTCTGATTAACACTCCCGTTGAAGCTGTAAACACCGACCTTGCTGTATCACATTCAGGTCTATAATACTTCTCAGAACAGTGATACTGCTGAAACATGGCTGAGCGATAATATCAAATGGTTAACTAGTTAAGCAAATCTGAAGCAAATACAAAAACTGTTCTAAGGTGGAATTTAGGCAGAATTCTCATCATTAGTGCAATATTTGGTTTCATACATGCACATATTTGTTTCTAATGTTAAACAAGAGGCCAGGGAGATGACAAGTATTAATTTGTGACTGAAATGGCTGGAGTGGCTGTGGTTTAGTTCCTGCAGATCCTTCACTGACACCCAGTAGTGAAAACACAGCTGCTTAAGTAAAATGGAAAACTGACTCAGCCATGGAGAACATTGTGTTGTGCATGCCAAAGTAAGCTTCAGCCCCATGTGTCGGACAAAGTGAGAGAGGGGGCGTTAATCTTTAGATATTCTGATAATAGTATTTATATGAACCTTTCTGGAAAATCTTTGGCTTTAAAGATTCTAGCAGATCCTCTGAGTAACTGATCCTCAGCATCCGCGGTATGACCATTAAGAATAAATGCTCAAAAAAAGACACATTTTTCCAAAATCAGAAGTTTGATGTATGATCTCTAGAAAGAACTAGTATATCTGTACTAAAGTTCATTTTTAAAAGTGATGTGTGTCATTTTAATATTTATCTTAGAAGTAAGGCATTCGTTGTTGGATTTCTGAGAAACATGTAAACACTGTGGCTCTGTAGTACTATCTATGGGAATTTAACAGATCTGGTCTCTATAGTCTTGAGTCCAGGAATCAGAATAGACTTGCAAATGTTTTATTCTCTTTTTAAACGTAAAAGTCTGTTTGGTGATGCTAGTGGCACAAAAATGATACACTTTACCTTTAAAACCTCTTGCACTAAAGTTCATTTTTATGACTGTGCCAGGGACCACTGCTGGCTTCACAACAAATGCGTGTGTCAGACCAAGTGGCTCTCTCTTTATCCCATAGATGATGCATAGAAACATGGGAACCCTGGCATTCCTGGCCAGATGATGGGATGGAAAACAGCCTGCATGGTAGGCTCATGGTGATGAGAGCTATTAGCGTACCAGCGCCTGCCTAAAGCCTTTGTGAAGCTTTAGTGAAAAGCTCTGCGAGGATTTAACATTGAGTGACCTTTCAGTTAACAGCTAAATGAGTCAACAATTGGCATGAAAATTACAGCCTTAGATACAGTAATAAAATAGAACAAGAGTCACTTTTATTGAATATGATTTTACAGCTTTATTTAAGCATAAAGTAGAAGTGTTCAAAAGGATGGTTTTAGCTTGTAAACAATTAAATTGCTTACAACAATTTAATGCTATATTATCCGAAATAAATGAAACAGTTGTGGAATATAAACATGTTTATTATTATAATTTTTTTGTAAAAATGCAAGGCAAATTTAATAAAACATCAGTTGATAACTCTTAAAAATTAATCTTTAAAAATTGCAATAATAATTATTATTTACACTTATTTCATAAAAGTTACTGAATAGCAGGTTAGGTTAACCTTCTGGCTGTCTAAAGTGGACAGGAACAGATGAACGGTTCGGGTCTTGTGCATGGGTCATCTTTGAACGACAGATTATCTGAAAATAGACAAAGCTTTGTTAAACTGGTAAAGACAGATCAGGAAAAAGAGGAAAGCGGTGAAAGAGTTAAAGGATTATATATTATTCCTTAAGATTATCTGTGATGAATGCAACTATTCAGTAGCAACACTTACACCACGTCTCTACACAGTTCTCCTGCCCACCAGCATTATTGGGTTCTCCAACAGCCCAGCCATTATAGCTCCACGGCGTTCCATCCAACCATATGAAATACGTGTCTGTCAAAACAGTAAAGTGACTTACTAGAGGGACAGATATGGTGGCGAAATTAATAAATCATGCAAAAAAGTGAAACACTGCAAAACAAATGAACATACTAAAGATTCTCCATCCTCCAAGCCATGCGCGAGTGCGGCCGCCGCATGCACGTCACACCTGCTTGATAAAGGCAACTGTTCACAATGACCCTAAACACTGCAGTATTTAGTGCTTTTGGCTAAGTATGCTAGTATCAGACCTGTTTGCTATTGTACACAGTGGCAAAACTAATATCATCTGAGGTGGTTTACCAATACGTGTCCTTCGTCTTTCCCTCCCAGGTTCCATTTGTATTTTTGGATCTTCAGCCGTTATATAGTCAGCCTCAAGTGTAGGCTCCTCCTTTACTACATTTTCTTCTTTTTCATCTTCCACTTCTGTATTAGTTTCTGACTCTAACTCTGCTACAGCTTCCTCTACAGGTACGATGTTTCTGTCCGTCTGAATGGCGGTTATTTCCGGCTCAGGCTCTCTGGCGTCTCTTCAGTCAGGCAATCTGCCTCTAGCACAGGTTTCTCCAACATCACTTGTGTCTCTTCTGGTACTCTTTGTTCCTCTGTTGTTTCTGGCTCCAGCAGCACTGAATCAGGCTCCACCAGACGTGAATCTGCAACAGCTTCACCCTGCACCAGAGGACCTGCTTCTGCTTCTGTGTGCTCTACTGTCGGTTCTTTTTCAACCACTGGCACCTTCACCACCGGATCAGGAAGCTTCTCATCCTGAACTGGTGGACTGGCAAAAGCTACAGAAGCTAATGATCAGAAAGTAATAACGTTAATCAATCTAGAGATTAAATGTAATTATTTACCACTTTTAAGATTTTATTTAACATTTAGCTTGTTAGATAATCTAAGATTACACCAATAATGATTACTTCAATAAAGTAGAAGCTATTTTGTTAAAGATGCATGATTAAAAATATGTAGTTCAAAGTATACCCTCCAAGTAAAAAAAAAAATAAGGTTGCACTTTTGTACTATTCCACTCTTAACAGACCGGAATTTTACATAAATAAGCAAGTAAAAAATAAAAACACCTATAACAGTGTTTGCAGAAAGCTGCATTAAATGCACGAACAAATATAGAAAATAGGACACAATGTTAAATATTAAACTAACACAATTAATATTAACTGTCTTATGAAGTATTCTAATTTTTTGAGATAGTGAATTGGTGGGTTTTTGTTATATGTGAGCCAAAATCATCACAATTAAAAGAACCAAAGACTTAAACTACTTCAGTCTGTGTGCATTTAATTTATTTAATACATGAGTTTCACAATTTGAGTTGAATTACTGAAATAAATGAACTTTTCCACGACATTCTAATTTATTGAGATGCACCTGTAACTAGAGCACAGATCATACCTGTTATGGTGAGAAACAGCAAGAGCAAAATGTCTCATCTTGTCAAAAATCTCCAAAGAATGACTGTCTGCATGGAGATGATTTGATAATAAAATCAACATCAATCAATTATGTTAATTTTCACTTAATGAAGTTTTTATTGACTGTGATTCATAAAAGCCCTCTTCATTTAAGAGGGAACTGGACTACTCTGAAAGAAATTGTTATTTCTATTTACTTAAAGTTAGTTAAGTTAAAATATTATTTAACATCACTGAATCAACCAAAATACATTAGGTTACACCAACTGCATTTAAGGGTTAAATCACTATGAACTGCAGATTATCACCCTTTATTTTAAACCATCTAACAAAATTACTGCTAGTGTAAGAAAGAAAGACAGAAAGACAAAAGGAATGTTAGAAATATGTAGAAATATGAACAGTAGATGGCTATTCTCACCAGTGTTGATCTTGTTGGTATTGACTCTTCACCTGCGTTTCTCTCAGTGCTGTGAGATTCAATCGGTGCTTCTTATAAAAGACAGCTTTATGGCCTTTGTCTTGTCATGTTTCTGAGAGCACATGCTTCACACTTTTAAGACCTCATAATATTTTATTATTTTTTGCTTCTCTTGTAAACATATGCTTTTAAGTTCAGAGTACCAAATCACTTCAGTCTGAGATATACAAAAGTTTGGGAGTTTGGATGTATTTTTTTTCCTACATTTTATTTGTAAGGTTGCTCTGTATTTATTAGTTCTATAGTTTGAGAAACAATCTTTGGATTGGATTGACATTCTGAGACAAGAAAGATACACTTTTCACATACTGCCTTTGACCTGATGTTACATTTAGCCTATATTATGTATATTGTGCTAGGGTGACCATACGTCCTCTTTTTCCTGGACGGGATTCCTACATTGCCTAAAATGTCAGGTGTGCAATTATTTTCAGGGAAACGCATGGCAAAAGTAGTTACAGGCAGGTCTCGACCGCATTACATGTCGACATCACTTCGCTGAATTATTTGATTTATTCCAAGGTCCTTACAAAAACAAAAAACAAAACCCACAATGACAGTGACCAAGCAAATAAACACAGTAAACAACAACATAAAAACGCCAAATTATTTCCATGTTTTTGCCACAAAAAACATGGAAAGTCAGGGGTAGTCGTGGCCTAATGGTTAGAGAGTCTGACTTGAAACCATGCAGGAAGCACAATTTGCTTCAGGTGTGTGTTCATGGTGTGTGTGTGTGTGTTTGTTCACTACTTATTGCTGTGTGTGTGTGCACTTGGATGGGTGAAATGCAGAGCACAAATTCCGATATGGGACTTTCCTTTCCTTTTCTTTCCTTTCCTTTCCCAAATTACGTTTCATAGGGTAATAATGGCGCCATTCTTGAAGCAGATGAACTTACAGTTTCGCTATTAGTAGAGACACTGCTGCTGAACACTGTTGAGAGACGCACAGACTCACAGAGGCAATTCTCTTGCTCACTCTCTCTCTCGCTCTCTCTCTCTCAAAACTGCATGAATAACTGCATTAGAGCGTTTTAAGGCTGGAATACACTACACAGCTTTTAATATCTGAACAGATTTTTAAAACACCAGGCACCATTCACTTACCGACTTTGTAAATAGTCACAAAGGAAAACTGGCCATCATACACTAAACGACTGAGGAATGCACACTACCAGGCTTTTAAGTTGGTCCGATCACAACAAACTCAGGCAGATATGTGCGCTTTGTTGCTAGGAGATGCATTAGAAAAATGGAAACTTTGGCTGCCTCTGTGTAGGGAAGCCAACCAGTTGGAGTGGAAAAAGGAAATGACGTGCTGTACAAAAAGTTGATGCAGAATCCAAAAAATGGTGTTTTATTGGAAGGTGCTAAAATATTTACAGTGCAGGAGAAAACAAAAATAAACAAAAACTGTACAAAAGAAAAGAAAGCAGCAACAACGTGCTAATTTTGGCTAAACCAGATGGCCCAAGTTTGCAACCCTGCTCAGTATTAGAGTTCACAATCAGAACTGAAATCCTTTCAGCCATCACGCCTATTTATAGGCTGAAGCCCCACCTATAGAGCCTACCAACTATGTACAAACGTTTTAGGTTGTAATGATCAAATTAAAAAATATAAACACCCAACACAACACTAAAACCTTCCAAATAGGTAAAACAACAACCATTAACAGAGAAAGAGTTTAACAACTAATTAAATAGCAAAAACAAATTTTTCCAAATCCCCTCCCCCTCTGACATCACACCAAAATGGTATCTTCCACAGGAAGTGATGTGGCTGTCGCTTTAAAAAAAACAGATTAACCTGGATTATGGGTTTGGTTGAACAGAGTGTGAACCGGGGAGTTTAACTACAAAAAAGGTTTGCGGCAAGTATGTGGAAAAATAAAGGTAATTATCATATGAATTATTATGTGTTCTGGCATTCTGTTATTTTTAGAAAAATAATAGCAAACTTTAAGGAAAACTATCAAGAGTTGAAAACTATAACAAAACACAGCAGCTACAAACTTTAGACTAAACAAAACAAAAACTCCATAAAACTTTCCTGAGGTGTACACAGATGTTAATAATGCCGGCAATGCACAGTATCAGTGACATGGGTGTATGTTTGTAAATCCAAGTTTATAGAGTCACCAGGTTAACCTGTGACACTCTGATTTTACTTTGGTAAAATCAGAGGCCTTTGATTTTACTTTGGTCACTGTCGCTATGGTTACTGGTGACTCCCGTTACACGTTCATACAGACAGCATTCAAGACGCTACTGTAAGCTGCTGTGTGAACGAGACATTTCGAGACTTACACCTGTAAGTAAATGTGGTTGTCAATCCCAAAAACTAACAGTGTGAACGTAGCCTATTGCAACCCCTCCTTTAAACAACTCTTTCAACAGCTCTGCTCCATTGTTAGTTCTAACTGGTGATGTGGTGCGCAATGACAGTTGGGTGATTTTCCCTCCACTTCCTGTGAAGTGATGTATTGATGTTCCCTTACTCCCTATGCCGTTCGCAGTGGCCTTCAAACCGAACATGTTCACTCCCTTCTGATTGGAATCTCACTTAAGATGGCGGCATACCTTGTGAAGTCCACTTCGCAGTCCACGCACGCACCTTAAATCAGCGGAAAATCTGGAAAAAATCATGTAGTGCATTTCAGGCTTATAAGTGGAATAACTGACTCCGGACCATTGAATTATTAGAAAATAATGCACACCGTCGTTGCCGCATCACCACTGTGCATTATTTTCTAATAATTCAATGGCCCATCGTCAATTATTCATTACTGAATCAACTTAACTATTGGGTTACAACAATTAAAGCAAACTCTAAGGGTCAAGATCAAGTTCTTAAGATGCAGGTAAACATTTTGACTTATTAAAACTAATGAAAAACATAGCTGCTACTGGCCCAAACAGGACTTATCTGCAGGGATGTGCACAGACATTTTGAGGGACAGGGGCTCAAGTGGAAAAAAGGGCACTTCTCATATTTATTTAATTTTTTTTCTAAACAAAACATTAAATATATTATTATTATTATTATTATTGATGTTGTTGTTATAATTACACTTACTGTACCATGCACACGCACAAACTAATGGTGACAAGAACTTTGTTTCACATTTGAGGGAGGGCTGTTAAGATCTATCAGCATACAACATTACTAATAGAATGGACAGTTATTAGATGAAGAGCCTAAGATCAAAATTATGAAGTTATTGTTTAAGGCAGGACACTTCATGTAGGCCAGTGGTTCTCAAACCTGTCCTGGAGTACCCCCAGCCCTGCACATTTTGTATGTCTCCCTCATCTATCACACCTGATTCAACTCATCAGCTCATTCATGGAGACGTGGAAGTGGGTGTGTCAGATATAGGGAGACATACAAAATGTGCAGTGCTTGGGGGTACTTAATGGAGAGGTTTGAGAACCCCTGATGTAGGCTACTCTTCAATTTTGAGATTTTGGTCTATTTTGCTTCCATGTCTTCTTTTGCTTTAATAGAAAGGAAATTTCCAAAATACACATTAAGGTGTTTGTTTTAAGCCTACTACCCTTGTCTGTTTGCTTCTGTAGATTTCTTCTACATTAACCAAAACAAGCTATCTGCATATTTAAACATAACATTTCAAGGGGAAAGATTCTTGTAAGTCATTAACTAATAATTGGGGAAGTTTTGTGGTGATATGCTTTATTTATTTGGTTTATCCTATTCAGGCACGTACACACATAGACATCAAAGGGAGCTTGAGCACCTGCCCTTTTTCTTCCTCGAGAGAAAGTGCCCTTTTTTCTGGGGAGTTTTTTTTTTTTTTAACAAATGAATACATGTATATGTGTGTGTGTGTTTCTGTTTGCGCACAGCTTTCCCTATCAAACAAATAAAAAATCTAAATATCAGGTCGGGTCGGGAAATGTTCCCGATGCCTTTCTCCCCTCCATACGTGCACGTGACTGTGTGTAATGAGCTGCCACTATACTTTATTTTATTTTTATTTTATTTTCAGTATACGGATGTATTTTTTTTACAGTGTAGAGAGATCACACATGTTGGGTGACTATACACCCTCTTTTTCCTTTGCATGTCCTGGCCTTGATTTCTAAATTGCCTAAAAATTCTGGGGTTTGGCTTTGCATAATATTTTTATACTTTTCTGAAGATAATGACTGAAAAGTAGTTTGACCAATAGTGTGCAAGCTTCATACACAATCGACCAATGGTGTGCAAGAGGACAGGATCTACAGAGAATGATCAAAGCATGCAAATACAAGTACATGAGGACTGTAGCAGGCAGTGTAGAAATCCCATCCAGGACGTGTCCAGGAAAAAGAGGATGTATATGATCACTCTAGCATGTCTACATCTACATAGACTAAAAGTAACATCAGGTTGAAGGCAGTATGTGACCTGAAAGTCAATCTAATCAAAGATTATTTCTTAAAAGGATGATTAAATATAAAGCAACCTAACAAATAAAAGCAGAAAAAATATGTCCAAACTCCCAAACTTTTGTAGCCTATATCTCAGACTGAAGTGATTTGGTGCTTCAAAACAAATATTTACAAGAGAAGCAAAAATAATAAAATATTATGAGGTCTTAAAGTGTGAAGCATGTGCTCTCAGGAACATGACAAGACAAAGGCCATAAAACTGTCTTTTATAAGAAGCACTGATTGAATCTCACAGCACTGAAAGAAACGCAGGAGAAGAGTCAATACCAACAAGATCAACACTGGTGAGAATAACCATCTACTGTTCATATTTCTACATATTTCTAACATTCCTTTTGTCTTTCTGTCTTTCTTTCTTAGCAGTAATTTTGTTAGATGGTTTAAAATAAAGGGTGATAATCTGCAGTTCATAGTGATTTAACCCTTAAATGCAGTTGGTGTAACCTAATGTATTTTGGTTGATTCAGTGATGTTAAATAATATTTTAACTTAACTAACTTTAAGTAAATATAAATAACAATTTCTTTCAGAGTAGTCCAGTTCCCTCTTAAATGAAGAGGGCTTTTATGAATCACAGTCAAGAAAAACTTCATTAAGTGAAAATTATCATAATTGATTGATGTTGATTTTATCAAATCATCTCCTTGCAGAAAGTAATTCTTTGGAGATTTTTGACAAGATGAGAAAATTGCTCTTGCTGTTTCTCACCATAACAGGTATGATCTGTGCTCTAGTTATATATCGTTCAAACATACAGTTAATATTGTGTTAGTTTAATATTTAACAATGTGTCTTTTTTTCTATACTCTTGTTCGTGCATTTAGTGCTGCTTTCTGCAAGCACTGTTTTAAGTGTTTTTATTTTTTACTTGCTTATTTATGTAAAATCTTGGTCTTTTAAGAGTGGAACAAAGAGTACCAGAAGAGACACAAGTGATGTTGGAGAAACCTGTGCTAGAGGCAGATTGCCTGACTGAAGAGACGCCAGACACAGAACTAGAGCCTGAGAAATAACTGCCATTCAGACGGACAGAAACATCGTACCTGTAGAGGAAGCTGTAGCAGAGTTAGAGTCAGAAACTAATACAGAAGTGGAAGATGAAAAAGAAGAAAATGTAGTAAAGGAGGAGCCTACACTTGAGGCTGACTATATAACGGCTGAAGATCCAAAAATACTAATGGAACCTGGGAGGGAAAGACGCAGGACACAGATTGGTAAACCACCTCAGATGATATTAGTTTTGTCACTGTGTACAATAGCAAACAGGTCTGATACTAGCATACTTGGCCAAAAGCACTAAATACTGCAGTGTTTAGGGTCATTGTGAACAGTTGCCTTTATCAAGCAGGTGTGACGTGTAATGTAAGCTTAGATATGGAATGATGATTGTAGTGTGGTGATATGTCCACAGGGTGGTGGACTTGTGGAGGAGTTGTCCTACAGGGCAAATGTTTCCAGTTCTTCACAAGACACCTCAATGCCTATCAAGCTGAGGTATTAATGTCATTTATGATCATATATGCTTATTTGTTTATTTAGTGTAATATGGTTCTTGCAGCCAAATTAAATGGAAATCAAAGAGAACCATCATCAAGCAACATTTAAGTCTTGATTGATGTCCAGAAGATATTTTTTATAAAAAGGTATTTATAATAAAAATACACAATTCAGTAACAAAATTAATTTTGTTAACCTATAAACTTTATATATATATATATAATGTTATACTGGTTAACTAAGACTTATTGACTTATTAATGACACTATATTTCTCTTTTCTTTTCATTTTATAACAACTATGGTTCTCCTTAGTTCCACTGTCAGTCCATCTTCTATAATGGCCACCTGGCCTCTGTGACAAGCAGCTACATTCTTGGCGAAATAGGGAAGCTAATGGATCGGAATGGCGGCCGCACTCGCGCATGGCTTGGAGGACGGAGAATCCTTCGTGTATGTTCATTTGTTTTGCAGTGTTTCACTTTTTCACATGGTTTATTCATTTATTCTCCACCATATCTGTCCCTCAAGTAAGTCACTTTCTTGTTTTGACAGACAAAAAAGTTCTGATGGTTGGATGGAACGCGGTGGAGCTATAATGGCTGGGCTAAAGGAAAGCCCAATAATCGTGGTGGGAAGGAGAACTGTGTAGAGATGTGGTGTAAGTGTTGCTACTGAACAGCACTTAACAAAAATCTATCAATAAAACGTGGCATTCATCACAGAGATAATAATATAATATAATCCTTAAACTCTTTCACCTCTGTTCTCCTTTTATAGAGATACTTTCCTCTTTTTCCTGATCTGTCTTTACCAGTTTAACAAAGCTTTGACTATTTTCAGATAATCTGGCGTTCAATGATGCACCATGCACAAGACCCGAACCGTTCATCTGTTCCTGTCCACTTTAGACAGCCAGAAGGTTAACCTAACCTGCTATTCAGTAACTTTTATGAAAAAAGTGTAAATAATGATAATTATTATTATTGCAGTTTTTAAAGATTAATTCATAAGGGTTATCAACCAGTGTTTTATTAAATTTGCCTTGCATTGTTTACAAAAAAGAATAATAATAAACATATTTTTATACACCACAACTGATTCATTTACCGTAGTTTGGTTAATAAAGCATTAATGGGTTTTAAGCAATTTAATTGTTTACCAGCTAAAACATGCTTTTGAAAACTTTATGTGTAAATAAAGCTGACTTTTATTATCAAAAACGTCTTTTGTTCTATTTTATTACTGTATCTAAGGCTGTAATTTTCATGCCAATTGTTGACTCATTTAGCTGTTAACTGAAAGGTCACTCAATGTTAAATCCTCGCAGAGCTTTTCACTAAAGCTTCACAAAGGCTTTAGGCAGGCGCTGGTACGCTAATAGCTCTCATCACCATGAGCCTACCATGCAGGCTGTTTTCCATCCCATCATCTGGCCAGGAATGCCAGGGTTCCCATGTTTCTATGCATCATCTATGGGATAAAGAGAGAGCCACTTGGTCTGACACACGCATTTGTTGTGAAGCCAGCAGTGGTCCCTGGGACAGTACTATAGCATCACCAAACTGACTTTTACATTTAAAATGTGTGAATCAAATATATATATATATATATATATATATATACAGTATATGCAGTGCACACACACACACACACATATATATATATATATATATATATATATTTACTGCACATAAACATTATGCTATTTTCTCAGTGTTAGCAGCCAATTCTAGTTCTAATTGCAAGGCTTTAACTTTAACACTTTAAAAATAATTTAATGTTGTTAAATTCTTAACAGATGGGCCTAAATATATATTCAAATTATCAATGAAAGTTATGAACTGTATTTTCTACTTACCCCTCAGAGTTCCTACCATTTAATTTAGAGTAACAAAATTCAGTTCTTCTAGATGGTGTGCACACTCTAGTCAGAATGCTGCGCGGCGCATATGCTCTGAGACATGTGTCTATTCCCTGCATATGAGCAATAGTTTGTGATCTGTGCCAATTGTATGTGAGTACTTTCACTTTAAACAAAAGTGAAATTGTAAGTAAATACTGTTTTATCCTTTAAAAAATACTATAGGTTCACAATTTGAAAGTTTACATTTGTGAATATAGAATCTACATAGGAAGAGACTTAGGTTTATTATAAAGCAGGCAAAGCATCCACAAATTTGGAATTCATTGAAAAATCTTGTAAGATAGTATAGCCTACTCAATATAAATAAACTAACATCATTCCAGAGTTGAAAATAATAATTGCCTGACCAAACAAATGAAGAAGAGTTTCAGTGTCACTCATTTATTGTCAAAATCAGATCCACATTTTTTTTAACAGAATTTTATCTAAATGATGCTGCTGTTCAGTAAGCTCAGCTTTTTCAGAAGCAGTAATATCTTTACACACTTTTAGATACAATATAAGCAATTTTAGAAATAACTTTATTCTCATAGGATTTTCTCTTTTTAGCCAAGTCACAACTGAATTTACTAAAATATTCACAAATTTCATAGTTAGTCTGCTCCCAATTACTGCCATAATTATTTTCTTCTTTTGCGTTGTTTTTGTATCTTTAAGTAGTTATAGAGTTAGAATTACTAGATTTTGGGGGCCATCTATCAATATTAGTAATGTCAATAACCCCACCCCACCCCCATAAAGATTGATAACAACAAACATCATGTCTAAAATTCAAGTAAAAGACAAACATACCGACCATTTGGATCACAGTCTGAAAACAGAAATTTACCCTTAAAGCAATGAAGTAAAATCCAACCCCCACAGCTGAGCTTGACATGGGACATCCACATGTCATTCTGATTTCCAGAATTAAACAATTTAAGATATAATTGTGCTGTAGCCTACGTTTGGTAAGGTTTCTTAAACCTCTAAGTGAGACGACAGACCATAACAGAATCCCACTCTCCCCCCCCACACAATACCTGCCTTAAAAGTTTTGATGTTTTGCGTAGACATGCACGTGAGTTCGTTGAGTTCTACTCTCAAGTGGAGCAGGTAAACAAACAGTCAGAAAAGGGAATTCAAATGGGAAATATTTCAATGCCATCCACAAATATCCCTTCCTCCTATTACGTTCGTCAACCAATCAGATTCAAGCATTCTACAGCCCCGTAGCATAAATTATATTAATTTACCTTTTATTTGAATAAAAACAATACATTTGGTTTCCACACTAATCATTTTTTTTTGTTATAGACAAAATATTTTTTACAGTGCATACGACAATGTGATGTTATCCACAATTGTCATAAAAAGTAAATAGGCCTGTAGAAAGACGTGTGAAAGAAAGATATATTGTTTTAAGGGTATTTATTTATGTTTTAAAAAAAAGCGGTTACCACGCTTACCTACAAACAATAGCCTACCATGATAAGAAACCATTTTATCTTATACAAACGTCGCTTATTTGCAATTCATCGACACATGTCTTGCGCCGTCCTCGCGCAGCGTTCTGACGAGAGCGCGCAATACCATCTTGAAGAACATCCGAAGACCAAGAAGCACATCAGACTCTCCACGCGCTCCTGCACCAGCCGGACGATCTGAAGATGAGCACAACACACATAATAACCTTCCCCGCTCTTCTCATGCTGCTCTACTGTAAGTGTATGAGGATTGCATGTCTCATTATCTGACGCTTTTTAGTTTATGTTGTCTGTGTTGGGCATTTTAAAAGAAAAATTGAACTTTCTTACTCTAAATGAAATGGTTTGAGGATTCTGAGGGGTGAGTTGGAAAATACAGTTCATAACTTTCATGCATAATTTGAATGTATATTTAGGCCTATCTGTTAAGAATAATACTTTTTATTTTATTTTATTTTAATTCTATTCTACGTTGTTTTTACAGTGTTAAAGTGCTGCTAACATAGACAAAATAGCATAATGTTTAAAAGTTATTACAAATAATTATAATTATATGTAATGAATTATTTATATTATAAAATATTTTTATAATTTTTAAATTTTAATTACATGTTTTGTTTTATTTTGTCTCTCACACCACCAGCTTTGATTTGGTTCAAATTACTGTGTGATTGTTGTATGTGTGTGTGCTTTTTCAAAGAAAGATGGATGCTTTGAGGGTCTGGATAGGGTGGGTGGGGGTCTAGTAAAACACTTTGTTTACACAAACTTCTCAAACAGCATTTGAACACATGAGATCATGAGGGTGATAAAATGTCCGTGAAGATGTTGTCCAGATCTGAACTTCACTCTGATGTGGCAGGGACCCTTTCATGTCACTGATGCCCCTTGACAGACTCCTTGTGTATTGGTCATTATCATGGAGATTATGGTTACCCGGCATACCATGAGAAATTCTTGATCCCACCCAGTCTAGAGATCCAAATATCTGTAAACTAAATTATGTTTTGCAGATTACATGACATGTCATTTTTATATAAGAATGGATATTACAAATTATGAATATAGCTATTAAATGTTGACTTTGATCAAATTGGTTGGTTTTATTCTGATAACTTTAATGTTTCAGGCCACTAAGTGCTAGTTAGAGATGTTAAATACCGTGTGGTGTGGGCTGTGATTTTAACTCCAGTCCTCTTCCAGCTAAAGAGGTTTTAAGTTACCGCAGCATAGTAGGTCTTTGTATCTCTGGGTAATAAGACCCTCTGCAGCCTTTCTCTCTCTATTCTCATATGAAGTCAGTTGTTTTCTACTGTCAACACATCCAGCGTACTATAGAGAAGGACTTATACAGGTAAAGGAAAGTGTTTTCCCTCACTTCCCCCAGAAGGGCATGTTTTTCAGTGAGTGAGGAGGTTATCAGGCTTGGTTTGGACTGCCACCCCCCACTAAACACAGCCAGACTGTGTGAGAACATCCATCCATTACTTAAATTCCTACACATCCCTGTTCCTGGCACCACCAGAGCGGGGAGTGAATGTTAGTGAGGTTTCACATTTGAGGAGAAACTCAAATCTGTTTTCTGTATTCTTCCTATTTACCTAAATATTATACAATGCAAGAGGAAAAAAATATCTAACATATCAGTCTCATTTAAACAAACATTCTGGGTTAAGTTAAGCTTATATCAACTATGTGTGAGAATTTCAGTTTGTCCTTATCAGAAACTCTAGGGCAAACATGTCGATTCCCCCATAGTTTGCTATTATAAATATGCTGTGGGAGGGAATTTTTGTAGTGTGTTACAACTTTCAAGTGTTAATTTGTATCTTCCCTCTCCTCCAGTTCCCAGCTCAGATCCTGTTACTGTGACGACAAGCAAAGCCAAAGTGGAGGTACATGAAAACACAAGTAAGTTCATTAGTCTTCAGATAAACAGCTTGACATGTTTAGTTATATAAAAGCTTTCAGACCGTATTGATTTGATACTTCTGCCTGTTCTTTGCAAAAGATGCTGTCCTCTCCTGTGAGTTCAGGACAGAGAAAGAAACAAACCCGCGTGTTGAATGGAAGAAGAGAGGCAAAGATGTTTCGTATGTTTATTTTGATGGGGATTTTACAGGTAGGTTGTTGTTTTGCCCATTTCCATATTTACTGCAACCCTGTCCCTAAATACGTCCCTCATCTTAACATTTGTATATTGCTTTAGATATTTTGTCATTTTAAAAGAGGAAGTGAGTCATTTACATGACATTTGGGAGCAAATTACACATTAGTAAAGTTTTGGCTATACTTGAGGTCAGAAAAGGTCCATTGTCAATACAGTGTAACAATGTATAAGGCACAGCTCACACAGAAGTCACTTTAAAACCAAGCTGCATCAGGAAATCTTTTGCCCCCACAAGAAATTCCAGATTGCATGGATTTCTATTTGAAATAACTGATTCGCCCAGTAAATTTGATTGCACCTTTTGTCTTTCAGTGAATATTAGTTTTGTACTTTCATTACATATATTTTTCTTTAAAATGTTCTG